CCAAAGTCAATACCCATGGAAACAGCAGTGAGGAAGTCAAGGAACATGGGCAAATCTGCCTCCAGGGCCTCTTTACCTCTTTAAAGTGGTGAAGAGCAACAATCTCAGTTTAAAGACAGAGGTGTGCCTGACCCAGACCATACTGTTTTCACTTGCACATACTTGTTCATATACTTGTGAAAGTTGAACACGGAATAAAGAAGACCAAAGAAGAATTGAGGCTTTTGAATTGTGGTGTTAGTGTATTTGCATACATACCATAGACTGCCAAGAGAACAAATGCTCTGGGAAGAAGTGTACCCAGGGTGCTCCTTAGAAGCAAGGGGGGTGTGGTCTTGCATATTTGGGGCATGTTATCAGGATGGACCGGTCCCTGGAAAAGGACAGCAGTGCTTAGAAAGGTCAGAGGAGGAGAGGATGACGAACTTCAAGGGGATAGGTTGACTTGATGACTACGATGATGGGTTTAAGCACAGCAGAGGTTGTGAGCATGGACCAGGATTAGACAAGAGTTCCATCTGTTACACATGGGGTCACGCTGAGCCCTACTTGGCTCAATGACATCTAATAAACAGCATTCACTGGCACACACTGTTCTTCTCCTGCCACACACAACTTTTTAGATTTTTTTTTAATTGTGATTTTAATGAAAGTTTACAGAAAAATTGGATTTTTTATTCATTCATTGTTGCACATTTTCCTCCTTTACCCCACCCCAGTTCACTTAAAAAAATCATTGTTGCATAATTTTCTCTCTCCCCCAGTCCACTTTGCTATGCACCTCTTATTATAGACTATTGTCATACAAAGAATGTGCAATCATGTATTCCTTTTAAACCTTTCTTTCCTTCATATGTTCCAGTGCACTGTTCATTATTTATCCCCTCTTTTCTTAGTTTCTTCTCAACCCTCATGTCAGTCCTGTTTTATAACAGCGGCATTTTGCAGTATTTGTCCTTTCATCACTGAGAGATTTCACTCAGCACAATGTCCTCCAGGGTTACCCAGGTTGTATGATATTTTTAAGTTCCTTGTTTTTCAGTGCTGCATAGTATTGTGTGAATATTCCATAGTTTCTCTCTCTATTCATTTGTTGATGGGCACTTGAGTTGCTTCCATCTCTTTGCTACTGTGAATAACACAGCAATAAACACGGGTGTGCATATATCTGCTTGGGTGGCAGCTCTGGTTTCTTTAGGGTATATTCCTAGTGTAGTGCAGTTGCTGGGTCAAGTGGTATTTCTGTTTCCAACTTTTTGAGAAAGCGTCAAACTTCCTACCATAGTTGTTGCACCATTTTACACTCCCACCAGCAGGCACACACTATCTCTAATTGCAAGTCAAATATCACATCAGCTGTGTGTCAAATAAACAAAGTCCATCCATACAATGGGATATAGTGCAACTGAAACAATGAATGAGGAAGCACTTCATGCCCAGTATAGGCTGACTTTTCTAATCTATTATTAGTTAAAAAGGAAGCTACAGAATAATATGCAGAGCATGCTTTCTTCCACCTGCTAACAGAAATGAAAAATAAGTGTTTAGTTTCTTACATGTGCATACTCTGTTTTCTGGAAGGATATACAAGAAACATAATGGCTACTCATAGGTAGGGGAGCTGGGGAACTAAGAGCTGTTGAGAATTACCTAATGATACACAGAGAGAAATATGGATATGAGAATGATTGGCATGAGAAGGAGACTTAACACTTGTCCTTTCTACCCCACTGCTACAAATAATTAGAAGCAGATCTAATCATAATAATATAAAAATCATAATACAAATCAGTCTCCAATATTAATTGTTACATTACAAAAGCAAGATAGATAGCAGAGGCTATATTACTGTTTGTTGTTGCTTACCATAGAGTCAGAAACGACTCCTAGCTGACCCTCTGGCAGGTTTTCAAAGGTATTAATCACACAGGAAGAGATTGGTCATCCTTCTTCCACAGAGCAGCTGGTAGCTTTGAACCACAGGCCTTTGGGATTGCAGCACAGAGCAGCTGGTGGCCTTGAACCACAGGCCTTTGGGATTGTACCACAGCTTCTTGCCACAAGGCAACCAGAACACCTTGCATTACTGTTTAAACTATATAGTGCTGGAATGTGCCTTGGACACTGTAAGAAGTTAGCAGTGGTTGTTTGCCTGTGAAGTGGGGTTGTTTTTGTTGTTAGGTGGTGTCGAGTCTAGTACAATTCATAGTCTACTAACAGCCAACCTGAATCCTGCCCTGTCCTGTGCCATCCTCCTCATCTCTGAGACACTGGAGGTCATTGCTGAAGTTGCATAGCCAGTCCATCTTGTTGGGGGTCTTCCTCTCCTTCTCTGGACCTCCATATTTCCAAGCTACCTGTCCAAAATATGAAAGACGAAGCTTCATGATCCTTGCCTCCAAGGAGCACTCTGGTTGAAGGGGCTGCAAATTCCTGGAGAGAGACTTATTTTCCAGTATATACTTTTTTGTGATTGAAGCAAATTTTAGCATATGTATGTACTCCAAATCGAAACCAAATTCACTGTCATGCGGTCAGTTATATTTCATCCTGACCTCGTAAACTGAGTAGAACGGCCCTGTTGGGTTACGAAGGTGATAAATAGTTTTGGAAACAGACTGTTTTCTCTTTCATTCACAGATAAGTTGGTGGACTTGAACTTCCAGTCTTTTGATTAGCAGTCTAATGTTAAAACATCTATACCACCAGGGATTCTCTGATATGTATATTATATTTTAGAATAATCTAATACACCCAGAGACATGAGTGCATGCATGGTTGGATGAATGGGTTGACTGGGTGAATGGGTTGATGGGTGGGTGGGTGGATGGATGATGAATGGGTGATAGTGGAAGAATGTACAAATGGCTATGTTGTTTGATGCCTCATTGGGTGGGTACATGGTAGATGGGGGAATGGGTAGGGTTTATGAATGGGTAGATTATTTGTTTATGGTTGGATAGATAACTAGTTATTTAGGGAGGAGTGGACTCAGTGGAACCAGAAAGGACTGGAGACAGGGAAATTATTTCGATGGTCCAGAGGAGGTATAATTGGAGCTAGGATTGGGTGACTGAAATGTCTTACATATAAAACATGTTTCTTATGTATGTGTCGGCACATGTCAAAGTTTCAGAATTGTTTTCTTCCTAGAAGGGCAGATTCTTTTGGCATGAGCTTTTCCTGGCAACAGTTAGGAAATTATTATGTGTACTGAAATTATTATGTATAACCACTAACAGTTAATCTCTTTTCTCCACCATCATCTCAAGAATTATATGTGGTATGAAACCAATTAAAATAATCAACCTTTCATTCCTCTCCGTGATCAGTTTCTTGCACTTGCCTGTCTGTCTTTCAGATGCTCCATTCATTAATTCCTTTTTAGGGTTTCCTTATATCTCAAAGTTTCCCAATTAAATGCCTCAGTGTCTTGGCCTTCAGAAGTTTACTTTTTAAAAATTTTCACTTTTTTATTCTGGAAAAGCAACTGTTGAGTCGCAGAATAGTTAAGCCCTCTGAAGCGCTAGTTGAGGTCATTGTTTGATACCTACCTCAGATTGCCAGCTGTTTTCCTTTTAAGCAAAACGGTCTACTTGTTCCCAGGACTCCCTCTCCTTAACTTTCTTTGATGTGGCTTTAAAGCATGGAGTGGTAGGAATCCAGGCTTCTTGGAGTTCCTTGTTCATCTTGTTTGTCTCATTATGGGTATGCTGGTTGAGTCATCGTTGCTGGGAGAGTGCTTAATCCTGTGGTGGAAAGAGAGAGAAGTGGGCTGGATGGAGGCTGTGGCCGCTGAGAATACACGGACCTAGTCCAAACACGGGCTGCCACCCAGTTCCTGCTGCTGACGGTGAAGTGGGAATCTAGCTTCAACACTGTCAGATTTTTTGATTTTTCAAGAAAAGCCAGAAAACCATATTTTCATATGACACTTCTTAATTTTAAATGCTTAGGAACAAATCCTAAAAAAGCGTAGTCTAAAATAACAGCCGCAAACCACCCGTAGGCCAAATTGGTTTTTTTTTTTTCTGATCTCTGATTTCATTTATCTTATTTGTGTTAAAACTCTGACTCCTGGCCATAGAGTCTCTTTTAACTTCTGACAGCCCTCCGTTGGGTTTCCAAGGTTGTGAGTCTTAATGGGAGGAGACTGCCCGTCTTTCTCCTGTAGAGCTGCCTGTAGGTGGAGACCTGGTGGCATAGATGGTTACTTGTTGCATTGCTAACCGACAGGTCAGTGGTTTGAAACCAGCAGTCACTCTATGAGAGAGAGTTGGGATGTCTCTTCCTATGAAGATATGCAGCCTCAGAAACCCAGTGGAGGGTCTCTGTGCATCAGAACCGAGTCAGTGACAGTGCGTTTATTCATGTTACAGAGAGGAAATGGAGACTTTGAGATAGACAATAAGTTTTTCCAAAGTAACTGGCCAGTTATCAGATCATGACTTGAAGGAGGTTTTCCACTTCAGATGCTAATTACCTGATTGGTATTTATTCATAGGCTGACATCTTATTTATTTTTGTAGCTTTGTGCCTATATATTCAGGATGTCTCCTTAATAAAATATAAGCATGAATTTTTGAAAAAAAAATGAAAGTGAGAAAAGTAAGGAAAAAAATCTATCTCGTGCTGGATTGCTTAGTAATTAAATTCAGGAACTTCACAGTCAGCTCCAGACCTGCCAGCTCTGTGACACCGCCCAAGTTATTTCACTTCTCCATGCTTCCCTTTCCTCATCTGAGACACTTGACAGATTTAAAGGTGATAATTTGCACAGAACAGTTAGGATATGGCTTGGCGCATAGACAATGGTGAAGATGGTAGGGGTTGAAGAGGAGGTGGTAATGGTGATTGCATAGAACAGTTAGGATATGGCTTGGCACATAGATGATGGTGAAGATGGTAGTGGTTGAAGAGGAGGTAGTAATGGTGATGGTGGTGGCAGTAGTGGGGATGGAAGTGATGGTGGAGGTGATGGAGGTGAAAGTGATGAGGTGATGGTGGAGGTGGAAGTGATGGAGGTTGGAGGTAGAAGTGATAAGGCAGTGGTGGAGGTGAAAGTGATGGAGGTGGAGGTGGAAGTGATGGAGGCAGAGGTGATAGAGGTGATGAAGGTGGAAGTGATGGAGGCAGTGGTGGAGGTGGAAATGATGAAGGCAGAGGTAATGGAGGTGGTGGAGGGGGAAATGATGACGTGATAGTGGAGGTAGAAGTAATGGAGTTGTTAGAGGCAGAAGTGATGAAGGTGGTGGAGGTGGAAGTGATGGAGGCAGAAATGATGGAGATGGTGAAAGTGG